AAGCCTGAAGTGCCCGCAGCAGAGGACGAAGAGGCGGCTAAAGCACCGCTCAGCGGAGTGATCATAAACGTTGCGTAGACTAGTCTGGATCACGTAGTAGCAAGGCCCACGATCATAGCTAGTGCTCCCGGGTCCGACAGAGCCCCACTACTCCTGTGGATCCCACTGCTAAGATTGCTTCGGGTGCTGCTGTTGAAATTGCCACCGCTGCTGCTGATGCTACGGCTGTTGCTGCTACTCTGCACCGCCACAACCCCAGGACCAGCACTTCCTCCACGTGCACCAGCAGACCAAGTTGTCGCGATATATATTTAATATGTTTTATAACTGCCTGTAGCGTTAACTTTAGTGTAGTTATGCCTTCTTAACATTGGTGGTGCACCCTTGTTAGTTTGCTATATGTACCTTAGGTCGTATAGTGAACACCACTCATTCTCGAGATAAGCCTAGGCCCTAAACCCACCGGATAAGCTAAGTTAGTATTCTGACATGGTATTGAGCGATTAAGATCCTATCCCTAAGCTAATGGGCCCACCATTCCCAGAAGACCCGCCCATCGATCGTCTTTTTTTGTTTTTTTTTTCCCATGGTGTGTACGGCCCACGGCGAGCACGCCCGCAAACCACCCACGGACCCGCCAGCGTGAGCGTCAGCAAGTCCGCCGTCGAACCCGCTAGCGCGTGCATCCGCAAGCCCGTCGACGGACCCAGCAGTGCGCGAGTCAACGGGCCCGCCGACGAACCCGCCGACGGGCTCGTCACCGAGCCCGCCAATGGACTCGCAAGCGAACCCGCCGACGGACCCGCCAGCGAGCTCGCCAACGGACCCGCGAGCCAACCAAAAGCATATCAGCGAACCCGCCGACAGATTCACCAGCAAACCCGCCAACAAGCAAGCCAACGGACCCACAAACCCGAAAGCTTGCAAGCCAGCGGACCAGCGAACTTGCAAGTAAGCGAGCCTACAGACCCGCCGTCAGATCCGCTAGCACCGACACCAGCATTATTCGTCAGCGCCACCGCCAGCACTCTCACCACCCGCCGTCAAAACCACGCCGCGTGAATGCTCCCCACCCGTCCTGGCCCTGCGCATTTGCAGCGGCAGTCTCTATGTGGGGGAGGAAGGAAGGAGGGGAGGGGGTGACGGCGGCACGCCCGCGAGCAACAGCCACACTGTCGTCCGTCCCTCTATCCTCCCCCTTTCCCAGTCGCCTTCCCTTCCGCGACTACGGCTGTGGGGGGGGAGGTATTGTGGAAGGGGTGGCCGCTGTGAGCCACTACAGCACCACCCTTTTCCCTGTTTCTGTTCAGATGAGCCTTGCATGTGCATGGGCGAAATTGTGGCTTCCGTAGCGGCTGTACCGAGGAGTCGGCACGAGGCGGAAATGTACCTGTGCACAGGAAGTGCCGAGGCACCTGTGCACGAGGTACTGTAACGTTCACGAATGCAGCAGTAGCATCTTGTGCACAGGTGCAGAGGGCACAGCTGGTGCAGAGGGTCGCGGAAGTTCATGTGCGCAGGGTCGCGGTAACCCCTGCGCAACCACGCGAACGCACGATCGAATTTCGACGAGAAATTCAAAGTGCGCGAATTTCGACCAATGGGAGCGCAGGGAAATTTCGACCAATCAATTCCTAATGGAAATTGTACCCGCCAGGAGAAATTGAACCAGCAACTGGAAGAGAACCTGCTACAAGTTTCTGTAACTCTAAGGACGTGCATAACTGTGCATGTTCAACCTGGACAACTACTAATTTAGGTGGAATACATGGGCTTCTTGTTTCACCTTTCATAGCTGCGTTGGCATGGCGCATGCATGGTAGTTAACTAAACGTTCCTCTAGGAACATGTTTTGCATGGTTCCCTTGTTCTAGTATATGGTTCAATCTTACTTGTACTATGTTCTAGTTCAACGCTATTCCTTAGTGAAACTTTGCTTGAATTCTTCTAAGTCAGAGACAACCCTGTCAAGAGCAACATCCTTAGTTCTACCCCTCGCGCCATCACGCCATCTCTCCCGTGGGGTAGAATTCTCCGCATGGTGCGGTGAGCGTGGATCGGCCCCGCAGATTACCTTCAGATTAGTATTCGGCGTACCGCATACCTTAGTCGTTGTTAGACCGGCAGCCCGTGCAGACCATGGTGCCTACTCTCCCGGCAGAGGCTAGCGAAGTAGAGGATAGCTTGGAGGCACGTGAAGCTAATGTTAGGAGGCGCCACAATTCTGGCGAGTTCGGCAAGGCTCCCTTGGAGGTGCTCCTCCTAGGCACTCATGCGCGGTGGGCACGCGAGCACCCTTCCCAACCTGGTGCGGATGATGCGTCCGCCTCTCCTAAACCAGTACGCAACGAAGGTGACATCGACAACAAGGTCGGCAGCAGTGACCAAGTCAGAAGTGACGAGGGAACGCGGATGACGAGGGGAGTGATCAGGATAGCCGGAAAAGCAGTCAGCGGAATGTGGGCGCGAAAGGCTGCAGTCAACGGCTGATGCAAGCAGCTCGTACGGTGACATCGGCGGACGACGTCGCTCTCCCCTACGAAGTGGAGTCGGGCCGTCGTCGGCAACCCACGTGACCGCGGGCGGGATTGCGCCGATGTATGGCTACTACAAATTTTCGCCGGAAAAGATCACCGTGACTACGCCGCTGCAAGGTCGGCGGGATTTGATCACCTAGAGGGAGGTTATGGAGCCTCAACTTGAAGTCGCCGGGCTGAAGCGTTTCGCCGACGGCGACGAGCCGACGCCGGATGCTGATGATGTCGAGATGCTGGCAAAATTCTATGCCGCACACCTGCTGACCTTCATGGTCATCTCGAGGTGCTGCTCGCCGGTGGTGCAGCTAGCGCTCAGGTCGTGTCGACAGCGACTTGATGCTGGTCACCAAGCGTGGCGTTTCGTCCTGTCGACGTACCAGGCGACAGACGACCTGTGCATCGGAGAGATAGAAGAGTTGATGACACACCTGCGGATGGGTGAGCAGGAGTCGGCGACGGACTACTGCAACCGTGCTCGACGGATTCTAGCTGAGATGCACATGGCGGGCGTCGAATACTCGATGTCGTCCTACATCACCCACGTCGTCAAGGGCCTGCCGCGCAGCTACAACCTCATGAAGAGGATGATGATGGTGTCCTGCACGCGAGAGTCCCTCGAGGAGGACTCCCTCACCAGCTACGTCATCAAAGATGAGGCGCTACAGGAGGCAGAACAACCCACGGAGCTCCTTCCGTAGGCGAATTACGTTGCACCGACGAAGAAGAATCGTCCGCAGGGGCAGCGCGGAAAGTCTTGCGGAGGTGGTAGCGGAGTTGGGAGGCTGGCGAAGGACGCCGACTGGGCGAAATCAACTCGTGACAGTGGTCGCGGCAAGGGTGGTCGACGGCGTGAGTGCTGGGTCTGTGGAAGTGTCGACCACCTCTCCTATGACTGCCCCGACCGAGAGAAGTTTGACGACGATGACCACAAGGGAGGCAGTGGAAGGTCAGCCAATGGTCGTTAAAGTCGGGACGAGAAGCCGCGCAAGGAGAAGCAGACGTCGAAGAATACGCCATTGACGAAGGACGTCGACTCCTCCGACGTCAAAGGTCAAGGCGACGGAGAGGTTCGTGCTCAATGGTCGGCGTGGTGGAGCAGACTGTTTCGATAGCGCTAGAGGCTGGCAAAGACTTCAAAGCGGTGGCAGCAGCTGTGCAGGCAAATCCGATGATGGTTCTGCTCGACAACGGTTGCTCGCACCACCTCATGGGGACGAAGGAGGCCTTCGTCGACATGGCGCCGAGCGGCAATGTGACACATGTGCGTGGGTTCAATGGGGCTCTGCAGACCGTCGAGGGTCGAGGCACCGTCGCTCTGCAAGGGGAGGCCGGGAAGCAGGTCCTCATCCGCGACTTGCTTTACGTCCAGGGCGTGCAGGCGAACCTGTTGTCAGCTGGCCAGCTGAAGGAGAACGGTGTGCATCTGCAGGACAACAGTGACGAGATGATGCTCGTCAACGCGACCGGGGAGGTGCTCGGTCGAGCACGCTATACCGGCCGCGTCCTCTGCACCAACCTTCAACCCTGCTCGACAAAGCTGTCATCGAAGTCGACCGAGGTGGTGGCTCTGCGGACGATTGCATCTGCGACGAAGTCGACGCCGGACAGGTGGCACGCGAGGCTTGCACACGTTGGCGTCGACACCATCAAGAGCTCAGCGAAGCATGCAGCCGCCACCAGCCTGGACATCAAGCCATCCACGGGGACCGACTTGCCGTGCGTCTCTTGCGTAGGCGGGAAACTTGTGCGACATACCTTCCCCGACAAGGGCTGTGACGCGGAGGAGGTTCTGGGCGTCGTGCATATTGACCTGTGTGGACCGTTCCGGGTGGCCGCCAAGGATGGCAGCTACTACTTCCTTCTGCTGAAGGACCGCAAGACGCGCTACGTGTGGGTGAGGTCGGTAGTCAAGAAGTACGACGTTTTGCACGTGTTTGCGCATTGGCTGCTCTTGGAGAGGCAAACCAAGAAGTCGGTGATGATGCTCCGCTCCGACCGCGGAGGCGAGTTCCTGGGGAAGGACTTCACCAGATTCATCAACGGCAAAGGAATCGTCCACGACCTGACCTGCCCGTACACTCCGCAACACAACGGCATGGCAGAGAGGGAGATGCGCACCGTCGTCGAGGTTGTGCGAACGATGTTGCTGCACATGGGCGTGCAGCACCACTGGTGGCATCTCGCCCTGCGACAGACCGTCTGGGTGCGCAACTGCTTGGAGCGGTCGACGCTGCCGTAGGGGACAACGCCGCACCAGCTGCTGACAGGCAAGAAGCCCGACCTCACGCTGGCGCGGGTGTGGGGCTGCATGGTGCAGTTCATGGTCCCCAAGTAGCAGCGCGGTGGGAAGCTGGCGCCGAAGGCTCGTTGGGGGCTACACCTGGGTGTGTCGACGAAAAGCAAGGGATGGGAAGTGTTCGACATGACCGACAACAAGATGGTCACGACGGTCGAGGCCATCTTCTACGAGACGATGTCCCTGGAGGTGTGGAAGGTGACGCATGGGCCAGCGTCGGCATGGGCACAGACCCACTCTCCGACAGACTCTTCGACGGCGACATTCCCACTGCTCGCCAAGGTCGACGAGGCTGCTGATGAGGACATCAAGAATGTCCATCCTCCTCCTCCTCCTTCTCCTCCTCCTCCTCCTCCTCCTCCTCCTCCTCCTCCTCCTCCTCCTCCTCCTCCTCCTCCTCCTCCTCCTCCTCCTCCTCCTCCTGCTCCTGCTGCACCACCTCATGTCGTCGACTTGCCTACGCCAACACCTTTGTCAGCCACCGGCGATGAGGGGAGCCTGTGGATGTTGCCTGTGGCACCGATCGGTGGCATCGCCAGCGGTCGACGAGATGTCAAGCTCGTCAACGAGGGTGCGAAGCCGCCGACGACAGGAGAGCAGCGAGCGGAAGAGATGCTGCCGACAGGGGAGCCGTTGACGAAGGAAGCGCCTGCAGAGGAACCGCCGACAGGGGAGCAGCTCGACGTTGTGGAGGTCATTGGTGAACCTGACGACGATAAAGGGGAGCTTTCTGCAGAGGAGCAATCCACTGACAGCGATGTGGTGGAAGTCAAAGCCGGCGAGCCTCCGCAGCGACGTTCCACTCGTGTCAACTTTGGCAAGCCTCGCGAGAAGCTGAGCCTTTACGCTTAGCTGCCGCCGAGTACGACGGTGCGCAGTACGACGTTGACCTGCCTGAGCTCGACCCTGACGTGAACGCCGACCCGGAACATTGCTGGGACATCACGACGATGACCATGAAGGAGGTGTTGGTGAGCTGGAAAGGCAAGGCGGTGAAGGCGGCGATAATTGAGGAAATTCACAGTTGCCAATGGCACATGGGAGCTGGTCGAACGTCCGCGCGGGGTGAACATCATGAAGAACCGGTGGGTGCTGACGACGAAGTACCACATCGATGACACGGTCATTTGCGTGAAGGCACGCTTGGTCGTGAAGGGTTTCACGCAGGTGTACGGCGCTGACTAAGATGAGACGTATGTGTCGGTCAGCAGCTACGTCACGCTGAGGATCTTCCTCAGCATCGTCGCCGTCCTCGACTTGCACCTGATGCAGCACAACATGAAGAATGCCTTCCTGCAGAGTAAGCTGGACAAGGTGCTCTACATGTACCAGCCAGACTACTATGACGATGGAACCGGCAAGGTGTGCAAGCTGTTGAAGAGCCTCTACGGGTTGCTGTGGTACAAGGCCCTTGACGGAGTGCTGCCAAACGCCGGCTGGAATAAGAGCCAGGTCGACGAGGCTCTCTACTTCAAGGTCGGCGACGGAGGAGTGATGTACTGGGTGCTCGTCTACGTTGACAACTTGCTCGCCGCCAGCAGCAGCCTCGTGATGCTGAAGGAGCTGAAGGAGCTGCTGGAGGCTGCCTTTGAGCTGCGCGAGATCAGCCCGGTCGACGAAGTACCTTGGGCTGGAGATCGTGCGCGACAGGTTTGCAAGGAAGCTGTGGCTGCACCAGCAGTCTTACGCCGATAAGCTGCGCATGCGTTTCATTGACGAGGAGCAGACCGGACGCATCCCGAAGACGTTGGTCTCCGTCGACGCCTATGCGGAGCTTGTTAACGGGAATGGAGTGTTGGCCCCGCCCTCGCTTGGGCAACGCCGACGACTTGGTCGGATGTACGGGAGTAGCAGCCGACCGTTCACAGTGGGAGAGCTGCTCGACAAGCGACGTCGAGCTGCAGGGGACCGCTGTGGTGTTGCTGTCGACCAGGGAGCTCGACAGCTGCAACTGACTGGCCTGGGCGACGGGTGGGCCATCCGGGAGGTCGATGGATCGGTCCGTCGACCTGCAGCTCGACGGGGTGGTCTGCGGAGCATCCCGTCGACCTACAGTTCGACGGGGAGGTCTGCGGAGCATCCCGTCGACCTGCAGCTCGACCGGGAGGTCGACGGAGCAGTTCTGGTCGACGGAAGGGGTCCGTCGACCAGGGGGTAGCTCGACGGGAGCTGTGGTCGACCAGGGGCACCTGGTGGTCGACCAGAGGGAGCTGTGGTCGACCAGAGGCACCTGGTGGTCGACCAGAGGCAGTGGTGGTCGACCGGAAGCACCTGGTGGTGTCCAGGTCGACCAGGTAACCTGCTCGACGAGTTCTGCGGAGGCACGCGAACGTCGTCGAGGTCGCGATGGCGAAGGTGACAGCGGGCTGGTATCCCGAAGTCGATGTGGCTCGTCAGTCGCAGACAATAGCCGACGGATGCACAACGAAGCAAGTCGGGCCAATCGTCTGCGCGCACCTGTGAGCGTGCGCACTGCTGTCTTCTACGGAGCAACGCTGGACAGCCGCACTGCTGCAGCGTTGGCACGTCGTCGACCTGCAATGTTGGCAGGTCGCTCTTCTGCAGTGCTGGCGCGGCTCCTCTACGCAACGCTGGCAGGCGGTCGACCATGCAGTGCTGGCGGTCGACCAGGCTAGCTGCAGAGTTGCTAGGTGCCTGATGTAGTCATTCTGTCATTGCTTGTTCAATGATTCTGTATTCTCAATCTTTGCTAGTGGAAACTCTTGCCAATTTCTCCCGTGAATGTGCAAGTGCTAAGGAATTTGCAAAGCCACGATCACTCCTAGTAGTTCGTGCCAACCCCGTAGTCTAGCTCACTACCGTTGTAGAGTGACTCTCCGCAGAGCTGACATTCGATTACGAGGATGCTCAGGCACGCGAGGAGGAGTACAGGCAGAAGGTTGGCTCGCTGCAGTTCGTGGCAACGATGATACGGGCTAACATCGCCTTCGCGTGCCGCAAGTTGGGGAGCGGCCTGACAGTGCGAAGTGACAACCACTGGCACGAGGTCGACCGCTGCCTACACTACCTCGCGAACACCCGTGACACCGCCCTGGAATTCGGCGGTGGACCAGAGCCGTTGTGCTTGGTCGGATACGTGGACGCCGACGATGCGGGCGACAAGCAGGATCAGACGAGCACGGGTGGCTATGTGTTCGTTTTCAGAGGGGCCGCAGTATCCTAGTCAAGCCAACGCATCAAGTGTGCGACACTCTCGTTGACCGAGTCGGAGTACGTCGCGGCTACGGGCAAGGAGGCTCGTCGACTCCGCTTCCTCCTTGCAGAGTTTCAGCTGCTCGACCCTACGACGCCGACTGTCCTTCGTCTGGACAACCAGTCGGCCGTCACCATCGCGGAAGGCTTGGGGCTGAAGGGCAACCTCAAGCATATGGAGCGACGCTACGCGTGGCTGCAGTAGATGGTGAAGCGCGAGAAGATTGCGTTGAAGTACATCCCCACCTCTAAGCAGCCGGTTGACTTCCTTACGAAGGGGCTGCACTTTCCGGCTTTCCGGTGCTCCGTTGCGATTGGCCAAGTTCGTTTGGCAGATGTCGGCGATGGTGACGATAATGTGCAAAAGTAGGTGCCATATCCTTCAACATGGCTGGTGCGGTGAGATGTTGCGCGACGACGAACGCTCTGACGAAGTTCACTTCGTCACCCTGTACTCTACAATAGTTAGTTTTCTTTCGCAGAGTGTACACTTCCTTCGTGCCCATGCGCTTGTAGGGTAGGGGAGTGTTCAGATAAGCCCTACATGTGCATGGGCGATATTGTGGCTTCTGTAGCGGCTGTACCGAGGAGTCCGCACGAGGCAGAAATGTACCTGTGCACAGGAAGTGCCGAGGCACCTGTGCACGAGGTACTGTACCGTTCACGGATGCAGCAGCAGCATCTTGTGCACAGGTGCAGAGGGCGCAGCTGGTGCAGAGGGTCGCGGAAGTTCATCTGCGTAGGGCCGCGGTAACCCCTGCGCAACCACGCGAACGCACGATCGAATTTCGACGAGAAATTCGAGGTGCGCGAATTTCGACCAATGGGAGCGCAGGGAAATTTCGACCAATCAGATCATTCCTGACAGAAATTGTACCCGCCAGGAGAAATTGAACCAGCAATTGGAAGAGAACCTGCTACACGTTTTTGTAACTACAAAAACGTGCATAACTATGCATGTTCAACCTGGACAACTACCAAGTTAGGTGGGAATACATGGGCTTGTTGTTTCACCTGTCATAGCTGCGTTGGCATGGCACATGCATGATAGTTAGCTAAACGTTCCTCCAGGAACGTTTTTGCATGATTCCCTTGTTCTAGTGTATGGTTCAATCTTGCTTGTACTATGTTCTGGTTCAACCCTTTTCCTTAGTGAAACTCTACTTGAATTCTTCTAAGTCAAAGACAACCCTGTCAGGAGCAACATCCAGAGTTCTACCCCTCGCGCCATCACGCCATCTCTCCCGTAGGATAGAATTCTCCGCAGTTTCTCCCCTCCCACGACTGGTGGCGGGGACGGGAGGTGGGGGAGAGGGGGCAGTTTGCAGTGTGAAGATTAGTGCAGGGACTACAGTGGGTGGGGCAAGGGCTGGAGGAAGGAACGGGGGGAGGGGGTGCGGTTCCAGAGGGCAGCTGGAATAGGGGGTGAGGTTAAGGGCACATGTCTTTTGGTGTAGATTGTCAAAGTTCGAGCCTAATGCCCCTTTGTATCATGGCGACACATCTCTCAACTGTATCCTTCCGGGCACAACCTTTCCAGAAGTTCGAACTTTGGCAAAAGTTCAACCTCAAGGACGCGCACCCTAAGGGGGGTGGTTGAATGGGTGTGGGGATCTGGGGGTTAGTAAGAGGGGTTTTGCCGCACTTGGCTCCCCCCTACCTCCTCTTGTCATCACTCTCTCACGTCTCCCCCTTTGTAAAAAGGGGTTAATAAGAGGGTTTTGCCACGCTCGGCTCCCTCTCATCTCCTCTCCTCATCCCTCTCGCACCTCCTCCTTCATTCTTATCTCCTCTCCTCTCCTCTCTCTCTCTCTCTCGCAAGCGGTCATGCATTGATAGGGTCCAAAGGGTACAAGCATGGCAATTGTAGAATCTAGCCAAGCTATGCAGGTGTTCAGGCAAAGCAAGCAAAGAGAGCAAAGCCACTGAATCCCTGCACTAGCCTTGTCCTTTCGGCTGCCCCTAAGTCTCAAAGCTCCTAGGAGCATGAGCATCCCTCCCGTTTCCTCCCACCAGCCCTGCCCCATCTCACCCACCCTGCCCCCTCACCACACCCTCCTCCCCCCCCCCCCCCCCCGGCCTGCTAGATATCTCGGGCTTTCGCCCCATCCCTCTAGGCCGCCATCGCTGGGGACCGCCGCTCTTCATATTCGTCCTCTAGCAACCAGCCAGAGGTCCCCCAGGCTAGGCTCCCACGGATCCGCCGGTGCCTGGGGGAAGGCTGCCTCTGCAGCACGGTTCAACTTGGAGAGGAAGGAGACCGCCTGGCTTCGCTGGAGCATTATGGAGAAAAGCTGTGTGTAGTGTGCCGTGAGTTGCG